CTCTACATCTAGACAGGGTTCTACTGGAGCTTTCCTACAAGGTTCTGTGAGTTCTTCTGATCATGTGCTGCCTGGTCTCCAGATCAGACCATCCTGGAGGAGGCTAACGTCCTGCAGACAGCAGCTGTGGAGGGCAGCAGGACGACGCTGGACGAAGCCGTGATGCCTCCTCCATCTTCACAGCGAGGCCTGAAACGTAAAGTCCAGGAGACGGAGCCGGCTCTACCTGTGAGCGTCGGTCAGGTGTTCTATCATCTGCTCCGTCTTTGTCCTCTGATGCTTCAGTCTGGCTTCTCTCTCTGCAGATGGGAGCTGTGGACCAGCAGCAGCAGATGGACTCCTCTGCTGTAGAGTTACCTCCTGAAGACACCACCAACATCAGCCAGCTGATCGAGCTGGACCTGCTGGCCGATAAGGACAAGAAGAAGAGCGAGGACGACTCCGATGAAGAGGTTCACTCTTGTTTCATTGATCAGGGTTATTAGAGCGAATGTCTGCTGTGTCTTTGTCACTGTGCTGCTGTTTCAGGAGGACGAGGCTCAGGGAGGAGACCAGGACCAGGAGGAGAGGAGGTGGAACAAGAGAACCCAGCAGATGCTTCACGGGCTGCAGGTAAGGATTTGATGTTCACCCAGAAACTGCTGCTTGGACTTAAGATGGTTAAAGAACGTAAGAGTCAGAATGTGGGATGGAAGCAGCAGCAGATCTTTGAGATGAGTTCAGTTTCTGAAGGTCCAGGTCCAGGTCTGAAAGTCACCATTACTGTGACTGTACTCCTCAGAGGGTGATGGCCAAAACCGGAGCCCAGTCCGTCAGTCTGCTGGACCTGTGTCGGAACAACAACCGCAAGCAGGCGGCCGCCAAGTTCTACAGCTTCCTGGTTCTGAAGAAGCAGCAGGCGGTGGAGCTGGTTCAGGAGGAGCCGTACAGCGACATCGTGGCCACGCCGGGTCCCCGGTTCCACATCATCTGAACCCTGAACCCTGAACCCTGGACCCTGAACCTCGGGCTGAAGCTCTGCAGTTCCATCTTCATTCAAGTGTCATGTGTTGGATGTGTGGCCTTAAGTCAACATGAAGCAGCAGAACAGGTTCACAGATCCATAAACGGACCTTTTTATTTCTTAGTTATTGCATTTTGGATGATTTGTGCTGTTTGATGATGGTGTTGTGTGGAGCTCATCCAGACGGTGCTTCACACGACGATTCTGTCTAAAACCTACAAACTAAAGAACGTGTCGCAGCAGTTTCATGTCGTTAATGTCGCTCCAGGATTTTTGTACATTTTGTTATTTTCAGTATTTTTCAGATGTACAATTTTCAGACACTATATTTTTCTCACATTTTGTTGATTTTTAAACTATTTTGAAACACATTTAGAACATTTCATTAATATTTTCTGAAATGTTTTCATTTGTGGACATTTTATTTGACAAACTTTCTCAAACTGTTTACGGTTGTTATTTTGCACATTTTATTAATAGTTCAGGTTTTATTCATATCGTCAGACAATCCTATTTTTTGGCATTTTGTTAATATATTGAAATTGGATTGTACTTTATTCATATTTTGAAACGTGCACTTTATGCAGCTTCTTCTGCCTGTGAACAGACGTAGGCAGTTATTCATCGTCCCGTTCAGCACTTTAACACGTTTCGCTGTCAGTAAAATCCAGTCGAGTCCTGAATAGAGGCGTCACGCTGACTGTAAGCAGATCAGAAAGATGAAGAATACATGTCGAGTTAGTGAGCAGAGTAAAAACGACGACAGCGAAGTCTGTGACAAACTACAGTTCATCATTTATTTATTGAAATATTGTGATTTTGAATAAACCCAGTGAGATGTTGAACAGCTTCACTCTCAGAGGATGAAGCATGAACGTCTGCATGCTGCTGAATGCGTCACTAACATGTGCAGGAAACAGCTTCTCTGTCTGGTTCTGTCTCTGACCAGAATCCTTCAGATGCCACAACTCAGTGAAGTGTTTTTATTTAAAGCAGATCTGATCTTTATTCTAACATCTGTTGGAGAAAACGTGACAAAGTAAAACTGAATGCATCAGTTTAATATTAGAACCGTTTGTAGTTCGTCTGAGTGCAGCTGCTGCTGTTTGATTCTGTATCCGATCAGAAACATGGTCTCTGACTAACGTCTGTCTGCTGCCTGTTCATCCAGTTTTTCAAAATAAAGCGAATGTCAGCATCAGTTGGTCCGCATGTCGTTCATTCTCAGCAGCAGTGAACGGGTCACAGGTTCACATCGTCTTGTTGTCTGTCGCCTCTGTTCTTCTTCTCTTGTGTCGGCTGCGTTTCTTCTTCTCTCCGTCCTCCGTCTTCTTCAGCGGCGCCGTCGGACCTCCTTTCTTCTTCTTCTTCTTCAGGCAGCTCAGAGGGTTGGGGTTGCTCTGTTTCCTTTTCCTCTTCCTGCCTCGTTTGTCTCCGTCTGTCCGGCCGAGTCCCTGCTCCTCCTTCAGGCTGCTGATGCTCTGCTGCTGGCTGGGACTCACCAGCGCCCCCAGCTGGACATCCTGGACACGTTGGAGCGACGCCGAGCTCGGTTTGTCCAGAACCACAGTGTTGAGGATGATGTAGAGCAGCGGGACGCCGGGAATCTGCTTCAGGCCCGAGGTCAGCGTGTGGTCCTGGACAGAGCAGAGTTAGAGCAGAGTTAAGCAGGAACCAGAACCGGCTGATACGATGTTCAGTTTCAGATGATTCAAAAGTCCAGTGAAGCATCAGATAAAAAGGCCTTTTAATCTGGACGTTATTTTTCTTGTTAGCTGCACCTTCGATACAGAGTTCATGAGAAACAGTGACACGACGACGGGTCTGAGGAGAACCGCAGAGACTTGATCAGGAAAAGGTCTCGATGAGTTCCATGTGAACGGACTGATGTGTTACTGAGCAGATCTCGTTCACTGTGAAGGCAGAAGTCTGACAAAGGAAAAGTTTTCAGGAAATGAAAGTCAAACAGTGAAAGATCAAAGTTTTGGGACTATTTTAGGTTTGAACAGTCTGCAGTGAACCAACGAGTCCAGTCAGTTCTCTGATAGGATCCCATCCATCCTGGAATCAGACAAACATGAACAGAAAGCAGTCATGACACACATCAGGTCTCCAACAACATGTAGGTGTGGAACCACGTCTCCATCTGCACGCCTGAACAACAGTTCCTGCTTCAACTTCTGACTGCAGGACAGCTGAGCTGCCGTCAGCACAACGTTCCACCAGGTCCCACCAGGTCCCACCAGGTCCCACCAGGTTCCACCAGGTTCCACCAGGTTATACCAGGTTCCACCAGGTTCCACCAGGTTATACCAGGTTCCA